GGGCTTGAACTGATGGTAAAACTAATGACATTATTTACTGTCTTTACATTTATTTTGAAAGATGAAGCTCACGATTATGGTAAGGGGAGTTACATTTCCGACGAGTGCTCGCGGTGTTCGGCCAATCACAATGCACTGGGTCAGCTGGCCAATCAGAGCAGACTGCGCTTGTCGGAAGGAGGGACTTTGTAGAAAACGAAGCGTTTGAGAGAGGCGGGGCATAGAGGACCTACAATAATGTACAGTATTTGAAAAATAATGTGTTTTTTGAACATTAAAGCAAGTCAACATATTCTGTTACACCAAATAGACAAAATAATGATCTTTAAAAAAGCATCATATGACCCCTTTAATAAACTGAATCATGCAGTGAAAGAACACACTCTAAATGCGCACACGCACTAGTCTAGACTTCACGTAATGTACGCGTGCACTCTGTAGGGGTGTTTTGAATGGTTTTTGCAAAATACTCGATAATGTCAAATCACACATCGTTAAAACAACAATTACGATATTATCGCAGACAATATATATCGCACACCCCTAGTCCTACGTCAATCCGCTGGAACACCATTCTCTCGTGAACACGTGTACGACAGTTAGCGGAAGCTAGAGATTACAGTTGATAAAGTTTTAAATATGGATATTTGTCTTACACAAACACATCGCTACACTTCTAAAGGCCTTTATTAACCCCCTGGAGCTGTGTGGAGCACTTTTTATGATAGATGGACACATTTTTTGGACTCGACCAGGACATTTTTTTAATATAACTTCAATTGCATTGGTCTAAAAGGAGAAAGTCATATCCACCTTTTTCTTTTCTTGGTGTAAAAATGGGCGCAGCCATTTGTAAATTCTATGGGTCTGGCTTCCGGTCTCATCTGCGTCCACTCCATTTAGCTATTTTTAGCTGAACAAAACAGTTCGTTTTGCTGCTTGATATTGAAAGTTGGTGTGTCTTATATAATTTTAATGCATTAATTACGAACACACTGGTTTGTAACGCAAACAGTTTTACCGTTTACGGCATGTTGTTATTCTCCTCGTTATTTACCTATAGCGGCTAATGAACCGGAAGTCTCACCCATAGGCTTACTTCCGCGTTGAAGAAACAGGTGGATACACCTAGGATGGCTTGAGGATGAGTAAATCTTTCTTTTTTTGGTGAACTATCCCTTTAAGAGTAAATAGTCAAAGTCACTAATAGTCAATAAAATGTCTGTTGAGTGACCATCAAATTAAATTGTTGGCAGATAATAAATAGTCTACTAATAATGTAATGACTGGTAGTTGGCATGTAATTGAAAAGTTACTAGTTGGACTATCAAAATAAAGTGCTACCAATATTTTTAATATGCGTTATAGAAAACATTTTTCACCAAAAATACTTGGAAGGAAACTGATTATGTAAATTCATCTGTACAAAAGGTCTAATGTCCACTGAAGAACAAGACGCTATTTGGATTATTCTCAAATCATACTGGGTAACACAATTTATAAAGGGAAAATATTTTAATAAATTACAAAAATAGCCACACAGAAGTACGTTCAGAGCCCACTATATAGGAGTGTGTGCGTTTGGCCATGTCTGAGGAAAGCTAGCCTGAGAAGCCATGGAAAACACAAATCTGACAGAAAGAGCGGGGGAGAGGAATATTCCAGTTATGTAAAAGACTGAAAATGGTACACTAGAGACAGGATTGAGGAGGGGGATGTTGGCTGTGACTGAAGACAAGACAAGACAATGTTTCCAAAGAAAAGACAGATATACCGAGATGCTGGATAGCCTGATCCTTATCAAAGTTAACCACGGTAACCACAGCTCCCCTCAAAATACAAATAAATACTGCTTGCACATGCAAAAGCCACCACCAAAGTGCTAAGAAGTTGCTGGTGGCTGCCAAGGCATTGTCTTGTGGCTTCTAAAATGTTCAGAATTGCATGTGTTGCTAGAGTGTTCTGAGTGGTTGCCAGGTCTCAGGTGTTCTGAGTGGTTTTAGAGCATTCTATGAGCTTGCTTGGGTGTTTCTGGTGGTTCTGTACTGGTCCAAAAGAGAGAGACAAAAAAACCCCAAAAAACTGGGAACCCTGAAGTTGCTAATGCTAGTAAATGTCAGCAACCCAAGTGCAGCACAGATGCTCGTCTACAGAATGATTTGTGAGCAAACATGCTGTGAAGTTATAAAAACCTGAGGAACAGGTGTCTGTTTTATGATAGTTGCCCTATTTTATAATAGAAACAGATGAGTGTTAGGGAAATCCCACTATTAGCTTTAGGTTTAGCGCAAGCTAATGATCTTTAAAGAAACTGAGGCTGTCAGTTCATAAGGAAATCATTAACAACAACGTTTCCATCATTAGAGAGAAAGAAAATATTCACTAAAGTACATTAATTTCAGGGGTACAAAAATCCCTACCACTATGGAGTGTGTTGAAATGGAGGGTATCATGTTTGAGAAATGAAATGCACGATTTAATTCCAGTAAAGATTGAAAAGGGAAAAACTAAACAGAGTTCCTTGCTATTCATCAGTCTAAGTATTGGAAAGAAACAGCTCAAGGTTTCACAGTGATTCATTTGTTTGCAGTTTCCAGCTCTCACCAATAACGAACTGAGAGCATGTTAGAGGCCTGGATAATTTCACAACCTATAAACACACATGAAAACCGAGTCTAAAGAAATTTGGACACACACAGCAGCTGGGTTGGACAAAATGATAATCGAATGAACCAAGAACCCAACTGATCCAAAAACACACACAATGCTTTAAAAATATAATAAAAAAGTAATAAATAAATAAATGAAAAGAAAAGAAAATATTCAAAAGAAATGTGTGTTTAAAATGTGCAAATCATTTTCTAATAATTACCACAAAAAAAAGATGTTTTAGCAAGTAAAAACTAATATGCAAAATATTAGTAAGTAATATATTCAATAACTCACAGCCCAGGTCTTGGTGAGCCTGAAGATGGGGGCGCTCTGTAAAGCAGATACTACTGCCATCACTGCATGGAGATTATTCATGTCACACAGTTTCTGCAAGAAGAGAGAAAGAAGGTTAGCAACTAGAATAATCACTTAAGTAGTGCACATGTGCTGAATGGAGTTTTTCTTTACCTTTGCTGTTCTGATATAGAGGCTCAACACTTCTGCCCTGATCTTCAGAGTTTGAGCATGAAGAATCTCCCTCACCACCCAGAAACTCACCTAACATTAGACAAAACCATAAAAACAAAGACATATCGATAAATAATCAATACTGCTATAGTCAAGACATAAGCTACACTACAGTTAACCTAAACATGGTGGGGCTGGAAAATGTAAATGTTCATGTGAAGAAAAGAGGATGAGAGGAGATGAGAAGCCAAGAGACAAGAAGAAACATTGTATTTTAAGCTTCAGACGTTATGCAACTGCAGAAATGGATTGTTGAAACATCACTCTTCATCTCCTCCAACCCCTGCCAACCTCAGCCCCCCCCCCATTTCCATTTCTCCTGTTGATTTTCCAGACCTTTCCTTCCCGAAATCCCTCTTTCCCCATCCCTCCATACGTGTCGGATACTAGGACGCACACACAGTGAGGTCATTGTTTCACCATCTCCCCTACTGTGTGTTCCCCTGTTTGTTGTTGTGAGACGGCGTCTTTGGATGAAGCCGGACCGCCTCAAACCAGTGGAAAGAATTTAATTCTAATGACTAATGAAGAGAAAAGGCAGCATGGTACTGCAGACATTTATACTCAAACACAAATACACAGTGCAAAAACTCAAAAACTCTATCTCACGCATGAGCACACATTCACACCAGCTGCTGCATTACACACACCTGCACCTGGATTACACAAAGAGGAAATCAATTTTGGAGCCTCTAGTCATGCAGATCTTTCCCCCACATACTCCATTACAGAATAGTTCATCTCCACGCTCCTCTTATTTCATCTAAGTCAAGGAAAACATGACAAAAAAGAAAGAAAGAAAAAGAACAAACTGAAAAAAACAGACCTTATGCAAATATCCCCTGGTAAAAGATACCCATGTGTGCCTAATTTGTAACATCTGTCCATGGGTAATCTTTAGGGTCTGTCTGTGTGCGTGTGTATGCATAAGTGTATTTTTATCCCCCCCGAGTTTGTTTCCATTATTTCCTGAATTGAGTACATAAGAGTAAATGTAATATGAATACACTCCATGTTTGTGCATGACAGACCAAAAATTTTAAATTGTGAGTCTTTGAAGTGGGGAGCATAAGGTCTAGCAAGAGAGAGAAAAAAGAATGTATATTTATGGAAAGAGTGCTTTACCAGTGTTTATAGTCATATAAACAACATTAACATTTCATTTTACACAATGACAATGAGTTATACAAGACAACTGAACCAGACAACTGTCAATAACTTTGATTAATCTGCTGCTGTTGAAAAAAAAAAGATCAGTAATTACCAACCAACTACATAATGATTAGCTAACTACATATGATCAGTTAGCTATATTTAAAGGGATAGTTCACCCAAAAATAAAAATTCTGTCATTATTTACTAAACAAGTTTCTTTCTTTTGTATTTTAAAGAATACAAATACAAAAGAAGCCATAGTATTGTTTTCCATACTATAGAAGTCAATGGCTACCGTTTTTCGGTTACCAACATTTTTTTGGTGAAATTCCCCCTTTAAAATAATGATGAAACCATCACTTGAATGATGACAAACGTATACATAATCAGTGAACAATTACATTACACAAATCTACAGATGATCAGCTTGCTACTGAAAGCCAACAAAACTGGTTTTAACTAGACTACTAGTTTTACAAAAACACACGAGACCCTACTGTAGCCTTGAATCATATAAACTAGTGCTGTCAATCAATTATAAATTCTGAAATTAATCGCGTTTAATCCCACCTAACAGTTTTTAAATATACTTTTATATTGCGCTAATTTCACATTAAATCTTCGAATTAATGTTCAAACAACATAAATGGCATCTTTTTATGACTGAAGTATCACTGACACCAATACTACTGATGTCTCTATAAAATTGTTTTTCCCCCTAATACTTAACCATTGATTATAGCCATTCAACATTACAGAATAATTGAGAGATATCAATTTTAACATTTATTAGACTTTAAAAAATAACTTCTAATTTAACTTCTAACTTAAAGGGGTCCTATTATGCTTTTTCACTTTTTTAATTTTAGTCAGTGTGTAGTGTGTATGTTTGGGCATAAAAAAAGATCTAGAAAGTTACAAATCTCAAAGTCCACTCCAAAGGGAGATATTTTGTTTGAAAAAAATCCCTTTTCAAGAACTACAACGAAACGACTCGTTTGGACTACAGCGTTTGTTTTCCGGGCTTTGTGATATCACAAAGCGGCTCATTGGAATATCATTACAAATAATTCCTGCCAACAGAAACTTGATTGGTTGTGGGGTGGGGAGGGGCGAGGTCGTGGTTAGAATGCTTGGTTGAGTGAGTGCATCAGACGAGACGACGAAGAAGAAGAGCTGCAGAGTTAGTGCATCAGAGAAAACCAAGAAGAAGAGCTGCAGTGCTGTAGCTTCAAATTCGGCATGTCTAGAACAATTCTTACAAGTACAACACGACGTAGCTGGGCGCCGCGGACAGACGCCGAACGGTTCCGCCGGTGTGCCTACACTCATAGAAAATAATGTATTTGAATTTTAAAGACATGGTGCGATGCGACGCTGCGCTTCTCGTCCGGTGTGCGACCGCCTGAAACTGTCTTTTTTCACCTCCGTGCTCAAACGTCTTTGTTTGGGCTTCCGAAAGCGGATGATATCAGGAAACAATGGTTGCAATTTATTTTTTAACTCGGTTCCTGAGCATTATATCCCCAATTTGCTATTGTGTGCTGCGCA